CGCTTATTTTGTTTAAATTCGCGTCGAGCCTTAGCATTTAAAATTTTAACTCTATCTAAATTATGGACTGTAGGATGTCGGCGAAAATATTTTTCTGCCTTTTTCCTATTCTTTCTGGCCTGTTTACAGTCATTATTAAACCATGGTTTACGAATATGAGGAATTGCAGAGGACTTAGGTATGGTTTCATCAGCAATAGTCTTTAGTGTATCAGAGAATAACTGGATTGGATCTAGAGCATTGCACAAAAATTCAGATTTCAAGTTGTCAGTACACAGTGTTTGAAATAAAGGCCAGTTGGCCTTTCTAAAAATCCACCTTGTGGCAGGTGGATCAACAGTCGGGTTAATAGCTGAAAGTATTGTGGGGAAATGGTCACTTCCACACAGGTCAACGTGGACTGACCATTCAAATTCGTTATAAATATTGGGATCTGTAAGAGACAGATCAAGTGCAGAATAAGTTCCAAATCCAGGATGTAAGTAAGTGGCTGATCCATCATTAAATATACATAAGTTATTATTAGAAATAAAATCTTCCAAGAGCTTCCCCTTTGTATTAGTCTGAGAACTACCCCAAAGAGGATTGTGTCCATTTAAATCGCCCATGATAATACAGGGCTTGGGGAGTTGGTCATAGAGAGCTTGAAGTTCAGACTGTTGGAGAGACGAGGACGGTGGAAGATACAGAGAACACAATGTAATAACAACGTGCAAAGTTACACGGACAGCAACAGCTTGAAGGGGAGTAGTAAGAGGGACAGGGCTATGGATGACACCACGTTTCATCAGGATTGAAGAACCTCCAGTAGCTTTAGCTCCAGGAGGTGAAAAGACATTATAAGAAGTATACCCCCTCACATCAAATTTGTCAGTGTCTCTATAGTATGTTTCTTGTAAGCAGATAGCCGATGGTTTAAAATCTTGAATTAAGAGTTGTAAATCATTAAAATTGTTCCTAAGACCTCTACAATTCCACTGTACTAATGTATGGTTAGACATTATGGTGGAGTTATAGGAGACCGCTCACGGTCTTTTTTCTTTGGAGAATGACTCCGGGAGCGGGTGCTCTGAGGAGAGGAAATATCCATGTCCTCAAACACCCCAAACTTATTGAACAGAGAAACAGTATTTTTCTGTGCTTTGGGTTCACGATCAGAACGCTGAGTTTGCTTCGAATAATTGACATTTGCATTGGGTTTCTTTCCTTTAGAAGGCTGAATCGTTGTTTGTGAAGCAGATGTCCGATGAGACGTTTTTTCTGGGATTTTAGCAGAAAGTAATACTGGAGCAGAAAGTGGATTCAGTCCATGTGAAGTCCGTCTGACAACCTACTGAATGGACTGAAATTATTCTAGAAGCTGTATTAGGAGCTGGAGAACAAATGGAAACAGCAGCAGCATACGATGGCCCTGGTGTTTCTTGGGCGAGAACAATCTTTTTGCATCTTGGAAAGAGATGTTGCTTTCATGCTTGACTCGGGAAATTTTGGATTGTTGTTTCCACGCTGGGCAATCTTTGGATGAAGAAGGATGATTGCCAGAACAGTTGACACAAGAAGGGGATTTGTCACATAATGCGCTGTCTGCACATGTTCCACCACATCTATGGCAGGCAGCTGGGTTGCGGCATGATCGAGAGCCGTGTCCATACTTTTACAACAGTAGCACCTTAGAGGATTTGGAATAAAGGCATCGACCCTTAAACGACAATAACCTGCTTTGAGTGAGTCGGGACGTGTTGGAACACCAAATGTGAATAAGTAGGTATTAGTTTTTGTGATTTCATTGTCTTTCTTGATAGTAAATCGTTTTACATCAAGAACACCTTGTGAATGTAGTTCTGAAATTATATCACATACATCCATATCTGACAGGCATCGCCCAACATCGCGGACAATCCCTTTACAGGTGTTTAAAGTTCTATGAGGTGAAACCTCAACAGAAACGTTGGCCAGTGATTTCGTTGAAAGTAGAATTTGAGACTGGATTTGCTTTTTTGCATTCGATAAGCAGATGTCCCGATCGAAGCTTTTTAACCTCTTGTACTTCACCAGCTAAGCCTTCAATGCCCTTTGCGATGGCAAAGGGATTTAGTTTGAGATGACTGCCATCAGGGGAACACATAACAAGAAATCGTGCCCAATGATCAATGTTGTTTTGAGATAATACAATATCATCATCTGAAGAGCACGAATCATCAGATTCGTGCGAACGTTTTTTTTGTGGGGGTGCCATGGTTATATCAAATATGATTCACCCTCCCAGCTCCCCACCCACCATGGAGTGTCTACAGGGACGATGCCTTAAGTCTGTGGGTCTCCAGCAGACGGCACCAAGGATACTAGGAAGGTATACTCAAGCAGGAATATATCTTGAAAAGTATATGTCCTACCGGATTGGCCCATGAGCCACCGCCTTCTGGCACCAGCATCTAGGCAATTTTTCAAATTTGAAAATCTATTTATCATATAACATAGAGAAACGAACAAGTCAGTAATGTTTCCAAAAAACCAAGCCAAATAATAATAGAGCAATGAAATTTTAGTGCTCAAGGCTCGGCATGACCAGCCGATTGGTTGAACCGGGCCCATTCAACCACCCGTCTAGGTGAAGTAAGGGGCAAAGTGGTGTGTTGGGCAAAGGAACGCTATTCCTGGGACCAGTGCCCTCAACCACCAACCTCCCGTCCTCCACCGACACAGGGGCGCAACCCACGGCAAACGGGTTGGTGGACCAAATATCCCCCCGGGTCCACAACGGGGGGTTGAAGGGCGCTTGGCGTTACCCAGCACCCACCACGAGGAGGTGGCCCTTCATGGGTGCCCATGCACAGACAGAGACGCGGAAACATGACTTGTAAAGATACAGACTCGGATACATGACATGCACAGACACAGACGCGGATACATGACAAACGAACAGACACTGACCAGACGCGGATACATGACATACGAACAGACACAGACGCGGCTACATAACATGTACAGACACAGACAGGGATACATGACATGTAGAGACCGAGACGCCAATACATGACATGAACAGACACAGACGCTGATACATGACATATGTACAGACACAGACGCTGATACATGACATATGTACATGCACAGACGCTGATACATGACATATGTACAGACACAGACGCGGCGTAATGACATGTACAGACACAGATGCTGATACATGACATATGTACAGCCACAGACCCGGATACATGAGATACAAACAGACACAGACGCGGCTACATGACATATGTACAGACACAGACGCGGATACATGACATATGTACATACACAGACGCGGCTACATGACATATCAAGAGACACAGACGGGGCTACAAGACATATGTACAGACACAGACGTGGATGCATGACATATGTACAGACACAGACGCGGATACATGACATATTTACAGACACAGACGTTGATACCTGACATACGTACAGACACAGACACGGATACCTGACATACGTACACACACAGGCGCAGATACATGACATATGTACAGACACAGACACAGACACAGATACATGACATATGTACAGACACAGACGTTGATACATGACATATGTACAGACACAGACGTTGATACCTGACATACGTACAGACACGGACACGGATACCTGACATAAGTACAGACACAGACACGGATACATGACATATGTACAGACACAGACGCGGATACCTGACATATTTACAGACACAGACGTTGATACCTGACATATGTACATACACAGACACAGACGGGGCTACATGACATGACATATGTACAGACACAGACACAGACGTTGATACCTGACATACGTACAGACACGGATACATGACATATGTACAGACAAGACGTGGATACATGACATATGTGCAGACAAAGACACAGACGGGTCTACATGACATATGTAAAAACACAGACGTTGATACCTGACATACGTACAGACACAGACACGGATACATGACATATGTACAGACACAGACGTTGATACCTAACTTACGTACAGACACAGACGCGGATACCTGACATATGTACAGACACAGACGCGGATACCTGACATATGTACTGACACAGACACAGACGCGGTTACATGACATATGTACAGACACAGACGCGGAAACATGACATATGTACAGACACAGACGCGGAAACATGACATGTACAGACACAGACACAGACGTGGACACATGACATATGTACAGACACAGACGCAGATACATGACATGTACAGACACAGACACAGACGCGGACACATGACATATGTACAGACACAGACGCGGATACATGATATATGTAGAAACACAGACACGGATACATGACATATGTACAGACACAGACACAGACGTTGATACCTGACATACGTACAGACACAGACACGGATACATGACATATGTACAGACACGGACGCGGATACATGAAATATGTACAGACACAGACACGGATACATGACATATGTACAGACACAGACGTTGATACCTGACTTACGTACAGACACAGACACGGATACATGACATATGTACAGACACAGACACAGACGCGTCTACATGACATACGTACAGACACAGACGCGGATACATGACATATGTACAGACACAGACGCGGAAACATGACATGTACAGACACAGACACAGACGCGGATACATGTTATACGAACAGACACAGACACGGACGCAGATGCATGACTTATGGAGACACCGATAAGGACATACACAGATAGACACATATACAAAGCAAAAGACAAGAACAGACGCAGACACAGACACGTGTTCTACATAGAAACAGACACACGCGCAGACACAGGCGTACCTTACACGCCACTGTCACAAGAGAACATATTCACACTACTGCGCATGTACACGATCATTTGTATAAAGTGCAAGTATGCGCGGCACAAAGCCCGCAGAAAACAATCAAACTATAGCTCCGCACTGCCTATTAACGGTTTACCTGGGACCTGTTCTCACCATGCAACACAGCTGAAGCTGCCCGTGCTTTGGAATGACATTGCCTTTTAGCGTGTAACGAGGAACCCGTACTCTGAGGCCACTGTGAAAACAAATTATCACACTCCTTATGGTATACGTGAGGTACGTAAACAAATCTATATTCACTACCGCATGTAATATACGATTCACACACTATGTCTGAGGGACGGAGAAGGAGAGTGAGAGAGATATGGGTGGACAGAGAGTGTTCAGGTGTTCATTTCTCAGAGCTTACCATATAGGTGTCTAACAGAGGTAACTATACAGGTGTCTATCTACCCGAGGTGACAATAAAGGTGTCTAACAGAGGTAACTACACAGGTGTCTGTCTACCAGAGCTGACTATATAGGTCTAACAGAGGTAACTACACAGGTGTCTATCTACCAGAGGTGACAATATAGGTGTCTAACAGAGGTAACTATACAGGTGTCTATCTACGAGAGCTGAATATATAAGTCTAACAGAGGTCACTACACAGGTGTCTATCTACCAGAGCTGACTATATAGGTGTCTAACAGTGGTAACTATACAGGTGTCTATCTACGAGAGCTGAATATATAAGTCTAACAGAGGTCACTATACAGGTGTCTATCTACCAGAGCTGACTACATAGGTCTAACAGAGGTCACTACACAGGTGTCTATCTACCAGAGCTGACTATATAGGTGTCTAACAGAGGCAACTATACAGGTGTATATCTACGAGAGCTGAATATTTTCTGTTGAAAGTTATTCAAACATCCAAACGGAAACCTGACTGGAATCCTTGAATCGGAATTCTAAAACTTATGTTCAGTTTTAAGAAACATTCATGAACTATCGTAGGTCATATCGACTGGCACTTTGTTGTTACATCAACACAAAAGACATACATTCGGTAGCCATATCATGCAGCTGCCTCTTTGCATTACGCTTGAATTACGGTACACTGCATGTGTTGCAGTCATATACTGACTGTATATACACTTGCAGTGATATTTTGTTTGTTAAGGCAACCAAACGGAAATTTCATATGAATCCCTAACTCGGGACACTGAATAGAATACATATGTGCAGTTTGTAAACATCGTCTTGACATATCACTATCGCGGATGACATCGATTGACACTCCCCTCATTTACGTCAATACATTCTCATATTCAGTGTTAGTTTTGTGATTAGTAACTCCTTGATTTTGTTGTAGAGCAGTATGTTTCTACTTCCACGTAGATAATGAATAATATACTTAAATGAAAATATCACGCATCCAGATGTGAATTGTATTATTTACATTGGCGAAAGAATCATGTACAAAAGAGGCACTGGGATATGTACTGTTTGCTACTAGTTTATTGTCCCTTGCCAATCGTGCAAGTGACGATATGTGCAGTACGGTGCGGCAACCGAGTGAAACAACAGCTGTGATAAGCATCAGTCGTTTTTTCTGTGTTGCTATGCGACTTGAGGCAAACAATACCGTTGCGTGTACATTTACATGACTGCTTACCCTCTTCACGAACATCCCAGATTTTCAATCTTCCATTATACTTTTGACTGCTATTACCAACACTTTTTTCTATTTTCAAATTTATTTATAAATAATGAAGCATACACTAACAACTCCATGCTGTTATAGAGAGAGACGTTTCGATGTAAAAGTGTTTGATAACGGTGTAAGAATGTACATGGAATTGCCGCTCTATACGATAAACCAGAAAGTCGTTTTGTCCACACGGTCGTATGTTACTACTAACATGGAGATTTTCTTTCCAATTTCCAACAACATAATCCGTGAACAATATTTCTGAACTGCATTCATTTTCTCCATGTTAATAGTATCCCCTTGTTTTTATAAAATTTCGCCTCGACACATGAAACATGAAAGTGTATAAAAACAACGCATCACCAATTAAGCTACACATGTTCCTCAATTCCATTTACTCTTCAGACACACCAAATTTTACCTGACTAATTACTTATACCTGTGTTCATTTGATAGATTTAAATACAAGTACAACTACAAAATACACCAATTTGTTTTCACCATACTTCTGTGCTTCTGTTTAGCATGAAGTTGTTTACTTGTATGATAATGCATATCATGTTCTGACTTGTTCATCAATCCCTACTCATTATTAAAATGCACATTTGTATTTTCCGGAGCAGAACTTTAAAACTGTTCTATATTTCTTCACAAAACCTGGCACCTAGATAGGTCTGGTGTTGTACTGGTGCCTTTTGGTAGGTATGGATTTCTAAATAAAACATACTTTGCGTTTCCATGGCAACAAGTTTGACTTGGTGGTAGTGTTCTTTTCCGGAACAGAACTTAAAAACCTTTCAGTACTCTCCTTCAACTTTGCAATATAGTCACTGACTTGGTTGACACATACCAATTGTGTAGATCGATGCTCATGCTGTTGATCACAGGATTATCTGGTCCAGATTCTATTATCTACATACCGCTGCCATATAGCTTGAATATTGCTGAGTGTGGCATAAAACTAAACTCACTCACTGCTATATACTCTCCAAAAGATTTGACATAATCATAACTAACTGACATATTTATGAAGAGTATTTTGCCATTGCTGGGTACATTGATGCCTTTGTCTTCTTGTTTCTGTTTAATTGGCATTTTAGAAGTTGATGAATAACCTATCCATAAAGTATCATACCGGTCCCTATTCAGTTTCTGATTAAAATACGATTAAATCATAAATGATTTTTACAGTGTACACAGCCCCTAGAGTTTTCCGAGATAGACGCGTACGGTATATAAAACTTCAAAAGCAATTTATCATCGGGTACAATACGTTCTTTAATATGTTTATTCCAAAGATTCCCGTTCTAATGATCAAACTTAAATGTTTGTGGCATTTAACTCATGTTATATCAGCAACTTTCATTTGTAAAGCAGGTTTTGTACTGGGGTTTATAATTCCTTTGAAAACAAGATTGTTTCCGGGGATTTTTTTTGTAGATTAAAACGAACTTGGCATGTATCTACCCATTACGAAATCTTTTTTAATACAAGGTTTAAGTCAGATTTGGAGCCTTCGATTACTACCCAGTTTACGGTTTTGTGGGTAATTGTTAAACCATTTCATATACATTTCCATTTATACCATATGCCTTAAGTTCAATTAAACATCCTTTATGCCATACTTTATCAAGAGTTTACCCTACATCACAGAATACCTTATTTACCTTTAATCGAGCGTACTTGCAATAAAACATATAAGTAAGTCAATTGATAAACAGTATAATTACCTGGCATAAAACCAGACTGTAAAATTTTATGAACGTTTTTTGTTATCACTAAGATAATTAAAAACGTGCTTAAAAAGACACTTTTCAAAAGGTTAGAAATACAGCTTGTAAGTGCGACAGGTCTAGTTTTTGCAGTCATTGATACTACATCTTGAATGGGTTCAAATGACGGAGGCCTCTTTCCACATGTCAGAAATAGTATGAAGCTTAAAGGCTCCTTCACGCTTATTTCGAATAGATAGGAATCAAGGAGAATCACCCAGAATTTTTTTTGGCAAAAATTCGAACCGCATTCGGGAGAGAATGTCAAAATAAACAATTTTTTTCAAGCTTTGTAAGAATGCTGTTGGAATACTTAGAACGCACTTCGAACAAACCTCGAATGTTTCTTACTCTTTCCAAATGTCATTAATGCGATCCGAATGAATCGGAATACTGTAGGAATAATTAGGATGCCGTTAGAATACACTAAGAATACTTAAAATGAATATCGACTGCCGTACGAGTCCGGTTCGATTGCTGCGTGAATAGCACTCGAATTTCAGTTGGAACGTACCCCGAATGCTGTACGAACTTACATAGAATGCATTCAGAACGCTCTTGTAATGAACCCCGAATATGGATCGAATGTTAAAGAATTAAAACAGAATGCAGTTCGAATATTTCAAATGTCCTTCAAATGCACTTAGAATGTAACACGAATGTCCGAAACGCATCGAGAATGCTGCCAGAATGTTCCACGAAGGGGTATAAAAACCTGTTGAATCTGTACTATTCATCAGTTTCTGCCCAACTCCTATACAGTATGGACCCCTGGACCAGATTGCTGTCCTCCAGCAAGATCTGATTGAAAGAAATGTGGAGAAGACCAGGAGGAGATCCCGGACGTTCCAGACCAGACCATGGCTGACAGAGGAAAGGAGGAGGCTGTATGGGCATTACACAAGACTAATGGAAGAGCTCAGAGTTGAGGACACGCAGTCATTCTTCAACTACCTTAGCATGGAACCTGCCATGTTTGATGAGTTTGTGCAGAGCGTGGGACCAAGAATACAGAAGCAGAATACATATTATTTGAGACAGGCGCTACCTCCAGGCTTGAAGCTAGCCATCACATTGAGGTCCCTGGCTCCAGGTGATAGATACCCCAGCATCATGTACAGTTTCCGCGTGGCAAGGAACGCAATCAGCCGGATCATCCGAGAAGTATGTCAGGTCATTGTAGAGGAATACAAGGATGAGGTTACCATCATCCCTACCACTCCAGAAGAATGGGCACAGGTGGAATATTCCTCATGCCGTAGGAGCTATTCGGCTAGGTATGTTTCTGTCACACATATTCCTTAGGCATGCAGAACTAAAGTACTGTCGGAAATAGAAAACAACTGTATTTTGGTTGTTACTCTGTATACCTAAAATTTACACACATGCATAGCATATGTCGAAATAACCCACATCGGCCTAACTGGGAGTTCAGTTGGATGCGTAATAGGATATCCAGTAAAACTTGTTTACTCGTAAAATCGGGCAATTAGGTCGCTCAGCCAGGTATGACGGAACGTCGACACACCTCGCATGAAATGCTCGTGCTACCTACAGGCACAAGGGGTCATCTCAAAGATATTATAAGCGTTTTCTTGTGTGTTGAATATGTCTCACATGTTGAGTAACATCTAACTTGTCTCTCTTTCATAAAGTTGATGTTGAGATATGTAAAATAGTATATGTCTCAAAATATATAGATAGCATGGCCAGTGGCGGATCCAGAGGGGGGGTTCCAACCCCCTCTTTTGAAAATAACTAAAGACCACGGCACATTGAAGTTAATGCTTTGCAATGGCGGAGCCAAG